AGGGTTTAGGGTTTAGGAAGCCTGAACCCACATACCAACCCGGGAGTCCTGGACCCCTGAAGCCGTAAACCTGAAGCTTAAAGCATCCTCAACCCCTACTAATACTAAGAGCCTAGACTTTCGGACTTTCGGTGGCGTCCCTGGCTCACCAGGATTCTGGTAGGATTCAGGGTTCAGGTGTCCCCTTGGCATCAAAATAGCCCAATAGCCTTTTACATTAGGGTCTTTGGGCCCAAAATCCGTAAAATATGACACCTTAGAGGGTAAGGTTTCGGGGTTAGGAGTGAGATCTTACCTTGAAAGGCCTTGATGGTTTTGGGACCCTCAAAACTAGGACCTCTGAGACCCCACAGAGACCCAAGGGCTCTCCTCAGGAGGTACCGGACACTCCCAACCGTAAGGGTCCAAGTGCCCAATAATCATATACCGTCCCAAATATGAACTTAGAAAACTGCTATCCGCATCCAAAGTATCCTAAACCCTACACCCTGAACCTCTAAACCCTAGACCCATAGACCCTAAACCCCTAAATCCTAAACCCTGAACCCTAAACCCTAAACCCTAAACCCTGAACCCTAAACTCTTAATGGGCCCTTTTGGACCCTTAGGGCAAGAAGATACCAGGTTCGAGTTCGGTACTTAGCCTTTCGATAGCAGCCCAAAGTCCGAAGTCCTCCCTGAATCCCAGAAAGCTGTCTGGTGCTTCGTTAGGGTTTAGGGTTTAGGGTTTAGGGTTTAGGGTTTAGGGTTTAGGGTTTAGTAGTGAATGGGGGAATGGACTATAGGGACTACTATAAGGGACCTTAAAGGACTATCATAGGGATCCATTCCCCCATGCCCTACTAAGCACCAGACAGAAAACCCCTATGGAAGGGGCAAGCAAAGAGAACCCAATACCCTTTAATTAAGGATTGAGGGTTTAGGGTTCAGGGTTTAGGGGCCTTATATCATATTCTTAAGGCCCCCATAATTTAAGGTCTATTCCCGAATTAAGGGGTATTGGGTTCTTTGGGAAGCTTCCTCGCCTGTTCGGCGGCAGGTTCCGGCCCCATAGGGGACATTTTAAGTCCAAGGCCAACCGGATGCCCCTCCCTGAGGATCGGGGTTCATGAAGCCCCAATGTAGACTCAGACGTAGACTAATGGAAGATGCCTCTAAACTGATATCTTAATCCGGAAACTAACCCTAAACCCTGACCCCCAAACTCTATAAACCCTCAACCCTGAAATGTCGTCCTTGCGGCGGAACCTGCGCTGAGGCAAGATGATCGACCAGCGCCTTTGGCAAAGCGATTCCCTGAGAGGGACGGTGGGAATGGGCACTCCGAATTGACTCCGAATCCCTGTCGGTGTTTAGTATCTTTAGGGTTTTGGGGCTTAGGATTCCAGGGATCAAGGTTTCGGGTTTTCACGTCGGGTTTTGAGTTCAGGGGCTTGGGGTCAAGGGCTTGGGTGTTCCTGAAGGGGCCAGCCGCTGGGACTGGCCCCACTGTCCTTCTTGCCTTGATGGGGACGATACCCCCCTTGACAATCCCCATGAACCCATCTTACTATCAATTGCTAACAGCATGTGCATATACGTTGGCTCCATACTTGACTCTATAGGAGTCCTGGGATGATGCCATCACGGCAATCCAGAGGTTTTTGGCTCAGCTCTTGACAGTTGGTGCGACCTGTAGGAATGAAAATATGGGGATACCAAGAATAGGTGCCTGAGTAGTACCCCTTGCCCTGTTTATTTTAAGGTCCCTTCATTAGAAAGGGGCTATTCAGGAACCTAGAGAAGGAACTGAAGGTCACAAAGGATCTGAAAGTCACAAGAACCTCCAAGTTGAATGTATCGTAGCGAAAACTTAACAGAACCCCAACGCATCGTCCGAAGCCCTGACCTATGCATTCTAAGTTCTAATATAGGGGCTTAAGCAATTACCAACATTTTTTCGGTGCTTCCTTTTTATAACTATCGTATAGCATACCCCTGCTAACTACCATTCAGAGTATTCAACCTCCGGTACAAAAGCCTCTTGGAAGCCCTTATCATATTACACCCGCAAGCACAAACCTAGACCCTAAACCCTAAACCCTAAACCCTAAACCCTAAACCCTAAACCCTAAACCCTAAACCCTAAACCCTAAACCCTAAACCCTAAACCCTAAACCCTAGCAAGCTCGAACCTAGACCCGAGGCCAACACGTGCTGCGACACTTCTGCTACCCTCCGGGCAGTGCGGCGAGCAACAAGGCCGGCAGTGCAGGGGTTGGAGGACGATAATGGGTACTATAACGGTTTAGGGTTTAGGGTTTAGGGTTTAGGGTTTAGGGTTTAGGGTTTAGGGGGTTCCCTTCACAGGTACTATAGGGTTTAGGCATGCATGTGAATATAGAGGCTTAAATATAACTACCAGCAGTGCTCCGTAGGGTTCCTTATTGTAATAGAATATAAGGAGCCCACAACCGTGATGTAATTCTTGAGGCCGCTACATTACGGTTTAGGGTTGAGTGCTGGCTAAGGTGCTGTTGTGTTTGAATGTATAGGACCTTTGCAGTAGGAATAGGATTGGGGGGTCCACGCCAGCTTAGGGTTTAGGGTTTAGGGTTTAGGGTTTAAGGTTTAGCATAAATATGTGAAGAAATCTTAAGGAAAATTCTATTGGTGATTGTTCAGCAGCGTTTATCAACTACTAAAGTAGAGATTGGTGTTGAACTGTTGGGCTATCGAGGGTACCGATCGAGTCACTGAGTCAACAGGGCCTCCAAGGTAAATTTCACGTCCCGAGCCCCAACCCTTAAACTTGATAGCCCAAACCCCGGAATCATAAACCCTTACCCCAACACCTCAAATCCTGCGTCACCCAATTTGCCCAAAACCTGACCTAGATGCCCCATAGCTCCAAATCCCAGCCACGGAAAGCCTTTTGCAGCACCCAAGACCCTAAAACCTTAAAGCTCGAAATCCATGAAATGAAAAATCCTAGAACTAAACCTTTATAATACCTCTCACTTACAGTATCCGTGTTGGCAACCCTAGCCCCCAAAAACCTTAGAAACAACAAGCAAAGCGAAGTCCACGTACTGAATGGAACGAGCCTTAGCCTTAAGAGTTCCTCTGAGGGTTTTCTATAGATTGTCTTAGGGTTTAGGGTTTAGGGTTTAGGGTTTAGGGTTTAGGGTTTAGGGTGGGTTTTCTGAGCGTGGGTTTGGCATTTGGCGTGTAGGATTTTAGGGTGTTTGGTGTAGAGTTTGGGTTCTGGGGGCCTATACTTGGAGGATCATGAGACTTTGTATGCAAGATTAAATGCCCCTTACTTGGGGTTACAAGTACAAACACAAGTATAGTTACCTTACCTATAACCTTCGTCACTAACCCTAAGGGTCCAAAGGACCCAATAATAGGGTACTTTGGTTGCGGATAGTAGTTATTTAAGTTAATATTTGGGAGAGTATATGATTATTAGGTACTTGGACCCTTAGGGTAAGTTCCATGATCCTTAAAACCCTAAACCCCTATAGCCTAAAGATCCTTATAACCCTTACCCTCAAAACACACATATTTTAAGGCTTTTGGGCCCAAAGACCATGGAAAAAAAGGCTTTTGGGCTATTTTGATGCTAAGGGTAAGAACCCTTAAAGATCCCTTCAAGGACGCCTTTAAGGGACCCTCAGTACTATCCCGTGAGCCTCCAAGTATAGCTGCCTTATTTACAACTAAGCCCTAAACCAATAAACCTTAAACCCCTAAACCCCTAAAAGGGTTTAGGTTTTGGGGTTTAGGGTTTAGGGTTGAGGGCTTACCCTTGGCATCAATATGGCCCAGAAGCCGCTTATATTTAGGGTCTTGGGGCCCAAAATCCTTATTAGAGGGTAAGGGTAATGCTAAGTCCCATGAGGCTCCAAGTAGGGAGGCCTTTGGAGGGCTGTGGCGGGGCCTGTGCTGAATTCAGGGGTTCCATATCAATATCTCAAACCCTATAAACCGTATACACCCTAAATCCCTATAAACCGGAAACCCCCAAAAAACCTTATAAATCCTGAGCCCTACAACCCTAAGTTCCCCAAACCTTACACCCCTACCATCATGGAAGTAGGTGCCCAAACACCATCTTCATTAGGGCTCTATAGGGACCTATACTTTCAGAATGGTACTATTGTGCGGAGTGATGGGGAAAGCACACAAAACAAGGCAGCGAGTTGTGGACTGACCCAGGCCTTCCAAAACCCTTTAATGAAGGAGTATACCTCACATCGTGTTTGGGCATCCTACTATAGCACGTAAGGGATTACAGGATACATATAGATATAAATGAAATAATATATAAATAGATGATATGTAAATAAATAAGTATATATACATATATATATATATATATACACAGGAAGTTACGGGGAGTTTAGGCCTCAACCCTAGGGACAAGGTTTGTTGGGTAGAACTCAACGACCTTGTTGCGCCATATATCAAACTCAAAACCCTAAGCCCGACACTTTGAAGCTGCTTAAGACTTCCTGGAGACTCCAAACACCCTGAAGCAGGTGCCAAGTATAGAGTGTTCAGTCCCAGGGTGGGTGTCATTGGCATTCTTACCCTAGGGGTCCAAGTACCTAATAATCGTATACTCTCCCAACTGTTAACCTAGATAACTACTATGCGCAACCAAAGTACCTTTGTATTGGGTCCTTTGGACCCTGAGGGTCAGGCTTTCGGAGTCGATTTTACAAGGTTCAGGCTTGCGCTTGAAGTCGCAAGACCCCAAGCCTGAACAAATGGCTTAACCTTAATATAGGGGCCTACTTAATCACTATTTTGGGGGGTTTTGAGTATAGTATAATGAGCCCCACACCCTATTCAAACTATTATGGCCCCAACATTATGCCTTAGGGCCCTTTTTTTTGAACGCCCTCAGCCCCCAACTCGAAATCCCAGGCCCACAAGGCCTGCACCCAACTCAAAACTCCAGCCCCAAGACCCATTTCCAAAGCGTTACGCAAAAACCTCAATACCTACGAGACCCTCTATACGAAGCCCCATAAAACACCTAAGCCCTAAGCCCAAAACTCTAAACGGTTTAGGGCCATAAACCCACTAAGCCCTAAACCCTAGACCCTCAACCCTAAACCCTGAACCCTAAACCCTAGACCCTAAGCCCTAAACCCTGAACCCTGAACTCTAAACCCTAAACCCTAAACCCTAATTGTTCCTGCCAGGGCGGCAAGTCCTTAGACGAAGGGCCGAAGGGAGGCGTCCTGAAAGAGCAGATCGTGAAAAAGCTCGAGGCCTCACTTCGCTCCCTCTAAGGCTTCCCTTAAGGGAAGCCCCTGAGGGTTTAGGGGTTTAGGGGATTAGGGGATTAGGGGATAAGGGGTTTAGGGGTTTAGGGGTTTAGGGGTTTAGGGGTTTAGGGGATTAGGGGATTAGGGAATTAGGGGTTTAGGGTTAAAGGAAGCCCTTGGGCGGTCTGATTGTCGAGGCTTTTTGGGCCCAAGGGCTGTCTGTGTCGGGGCTATTAAGGGAAAGGCAAAGGGACCGGCTACGGCCAAAGCAAAGGCGAAGGACTAAGTAGCTGAATAGGGAACCCTTAACCTTTCGGGGTTTATATAAAACAACCCTAACTAATTGAAAAGATTAATCTTATTTAGGGCTAGGGTATTCGGCCCTTGGGAGGATGAGGATGCCGGTGGAGCGAAGGCCGTAGCAGCTCCAGTGGATTTAAGCATCGAGGCTCTTAAGCAAGGGGTGCCAGAAGAAAGCAGAGACAAAGGCACGGCCCAGAAGTATGCAAAGGACCGGGACAATTTGCCCCGGTATGTCAGCAATTTGATCGAGGATAAGTCGAGTGGGCGCAAGCGGGCAGGGCAATCGACGGCCATTAATAGCCTCTGCTATCGCATTCAGGACGGGTCACTTCAGTTGAACATGAATGACCCATTGTTGCAGCATGTGCCTATAATCATCTCGACGAACGGTCACAAGACCACGCCAACGATGAATTGCTGATGACGTTGCATCGCAGCAAGCACCATGCACGAGTCTTACTACTCCAAAACGGAGGACACCGCCCTTCCAGAATCGCGCATGCGGAATCGCTACTTTGGGGGGAACAAAGCCGAGTTGGTTCATGAATCATTAATCAGGGGTCTACATTAAGGACGCTGCTGCAGTACCTTTTGTGGGAGGGTTTGGGATCAAGGCTAATGGCATACACTCTCCCAACCCTAAACCCTAAACCCTAAACCCCAAGCTTCTGACATTAGGAACCACACAGAGGAGTCTCAGATCATTTAGAGCATCAATATAGGTCCCTGGACGGTACTTGGAGGATCATGGGACTTAGTAACTAGGGTTATAGTTATAGGTACCTTAATTGGGGTTATAAGTAATTATAAGTATTGTTACCCTCTTAATTATAACCCTAGTTACTAAGTCCCATGATCCTTTAAGTAGGGCCCCGGTCGGGTTCATAGCACCAGGACACCTGCTTGGAGGGTCGGGGGAATTCGTAAGCACAGTAGTTTCTTTTTAGAGTTATAAGCACCATAACCCCAGTTGGGATCCCACTTACGGTACTTTCCCTTAGCATCAAAATAGCCCAAAAGCCTTATATAATAGGGTCTTTGGGCCCAAAAGCCTTAAAACATAAGTCCTTAGAGTCCTACGGTAAGCACCACAACCCCAGTTGGGATCCCACTTAGGGTACTTTTAAAGTCCACATACTTGCTAAGGTCTCCGACCCGCCGAATAGGAGAGTAGCCTCGGCTTCAACAGAACAAAATACCAGGACAAGTGCTATCCTCCCGGTAGTTTATAACCAAGGTTTCGACAGCTGGCAAGTAGCGGGCCAAACAAGCCAAACCTAAATCCTAAACCCTAAACCCTGAAGCCTAAACCATTGAGAGCCTGGGCCCTTGGAAGGCAGCAGACTCAACAAGCCAACGAGCGTCCACGCGGAGCCCTTAACCCCATACCCCGAAACCCAAACCTCAAGACTCCATGGGTAGTTCTCTAAAATAGGGTTGCTTTTTGGGGTCCCATATCTGGGGCTGAAAAATGGGAACATCAGTTTTCAGAACTAACCACATGCCAGACCACTAATAGGTCAGCAAGTGGGGTTCTTGATTTCCAGTCGGCATCAACATGCTCGATCCCACAGATCCCTGCTTCACGAACACTTAGCACCGATCTTCCAAACTCCCCAAACCTGACCCGAGACAGGATGCCAACTTCGACTACTGGACCTGCATCAACATGACGGCGTGGTGCCTACTGGTTCTGTAGACACACCGGAAGGATCCAAGCACATATTCATATGGGGGTTTCCGAAAATAAGGGACCCTAATATAGTACCCTCAATAATAGGATCTTTATTATAAGGACTCCCAAAATAAGGTACCCCTAAGTTTCGGAAACTCCCATATACTCGCCGGTAGAACACTACTAACCTGCAGTTGCAGAATGCGTGATTGTTAGGCCTCTGCTCAACGGTTGGATGTTTTCGGAAGATATTGGGTGCATGTTGCGTCCATTGAAGCAGCCAAGATGTCGGTGCTTGCATGTTCGCAGAAGCATAGCTAGTTTGTATATTGGGGTTCGGGGATGTTACGCAGTACGTGCGGTTGAACATGTGGTCAAAGCGGGCAATATAGTAGTAGGTTCATCGGTGCAGTGCCTCAATTAGTAGGTACTTGTAGCCACAGGAGGTAAGGCAGAGTCTTCCAAAACCTACGACAACATCGGCCCTGTCAGTGTTGGGGCACTTGGACGCTTACCCTAAACCCCTAAACCCTAAACCCTAAACTTGGACCCTTTGGAGTTATTCTGCAGTGTGAGAAACCGGCACGATCCGGCACCAGTGCGAACAGGCCCACCATTGACGAATTTGGACATGGGAGTTTCCGAAGGTTAGGGTCCTTATAATAAGGATTCTACTATTTAAGGTCCTTGTTGGGGTCCCTTATTTTCGAAAACCCCCAAATGGGCTCGGGATTATATGCCGAACAGGCGAAGACTGTTATGCGTTCGACGGTCAGAGTGTGCATTCAGATGCAGCCAAGGCTGTCAACCTCTGTTGTCTTGGCTTCTGTTGTGCAAGCAAGCTCCTTACCGACGCCTGCATGATTTTCAAAGTTGTATCTGCGGATCTAGTACTGTAGGAAGATGGCCAGGGAGGAGCCCTCTGTAGCAGTGTCGAAGGTTCAGATCGACATGCAGGCTTGCAGACAGCGCCGAACCCCGTAGCCTAGACTAGACCCAAGCTAGTCCCAATAAAACCTAAAACTGAAGCCCTGCAACCACGAACCCCCAAGCACCCTGAACTCTTCAGGCACATATCCTGCACAATCCTCTCCAAACGCCTGGAAAACACAGGTATGAGTATACTCATATCAATGAAGCTCGTGCAAAACCCTACTATGGAAGCCTTAATAATTGCCTATACTGTTTTGGGGGTTCCGTATTGTAACTATAGTATATACCCCGAAACCCTATTCTAGTTCTTCAGGCCCCTACATTACAGAACACTCTTATAGTAGATCCCTTATAGAACCTTTTAAAGGAACCCTGTAAGAATCCCTTCAAAGGAACCCGAGTCTGAAGGCCCCTATATTGCACTAATTATGTATAAGGGCCCCCCAGATTCTGGGACCCTAAACCGTAAACCCTAAAACCCAACCCCTAACCTAAACCCTAAACCCCTAAACCCTAAATCCTTAAACCCTATAGCCCTTAAACTCCCTCAACCCTAAACCCCTAACCCCTAAACCCTAAACCCTAAACCCCAACCCCTAAACCCTAACCTGAACCCT